ACTGGTTGTGTATTAATTATATAAGTGGAGGTTTGCAGCTAATTTTTGACCTGTGGACATTGTATAATTGAAGAGGCTTTCAAGTAGATTTATCAACCTTGGGACTTTTACTTGACTTGTTCTCTACTTAGGAAAGATAATTCAGGATCTTGGCCCCCACAGCATAAAGTCTTAGTCTTAATTGGTGGTGTGCTCACATTTGCTTCCTCTCATCGTTTAGTTTTGGTCACAAAACAAATGATTAGTAGAAAGCAAATAATTATCAACAGATTTAGTACCTTGTGCACTTGTATATTTGGAGTCCCCTTTCATGATGGAAACTGCATATCCAGATTTTAATGCAAATTTGTACATTGGATAAACAGAAATGTACACCTGCCATGATTGCTCATATTGGAAGGATTGAAGACCCACTACACGTACACCTTTCTTTTAAAACTCAATTGTGTATCATTAAAGGTATGAACGGTCAGATGCAAAAGCAAGAAGCGTGCAACATTGCTTATGTGTTTACTGCTAATGGCTATCTGTTTGGTGCTGATTCTATGAGTGGAGATGTCTTTACTCCATCTTGCAATGGTGTTGCGCACAATTCTCAGCCCTGAATAGGAATTAATGTAGAAAAGCTCTTGAGAAAGCTTCCTCAGAATTTAACCTATCACGCATGGCTGCTGGCTTCGCTGTCAGTGGTTAGTCGATCCTTTATCATGGTGTTTTTTCCTTTCAGTGTTTTTGTTCCCATAAAGCGGTTCTGTTCAACCATATTATAGAAGATTTTAGTAGATATCTGAAGTATAACAACATTAAGAACAAATTATTGGAAATCAATTGTTCGAAGTAGTAGCAGATGCCTATTTTGCAGTTCGCACTTCTATGGAAGAACTGTCCTTGCTGGTCTCTTTTTGTTCTTGAGTCCATTTGGCACCTTTAGGTTCCATTTCCTAATTCCCAGATTTACCTAATTAGCTGTTTTTGTAGACTGTTCTGTGACCTTGCATGAAATGAATTCCTAGCAACCCTTGAAGTTTTGATCATATTGGTTTTGTTATTTCGTAAATGCCGCCATGCTTTTTTGATCTTCTTTCTCGCATGTTTGTGTCTCTTTCTTTATTTTGTGTGTCCAAAAAAACCTGTTATATATTCAATTATGAGGCTGAAGTGCCAGTTGTAAATATATGTAGAATCTAGCGTAATTCTGGAAGTGTCATTATGTTTCTCTGAGATAGATGTTAATGAGATGGGAATAGAGTAGAGAACGTGAGATTTATTGAAGACTCTCAGTTGCCGCCAGCCCAAGTGGTGAAAGTAAATACTTTACTAGGTGGCATCGACAAGGGTATATGGCCATTTCGTACTCCTTTCACACCTTACTTTATTTGTGATCCTATTGTTTTCTTTCCCTTTGAACTTTAATTGTTGGATAAGTGGCTTGAACCTTGCTTGGTGTGTTGTATTACTCCAAACTTAAGTGCTGCATGTTGTTTAATTCAATGTAGTGTATATGGTTTCTTGCAATAAAGTAATTAATTAGTGGTGATTACTGTTTTATATGGAAATTAGAAACTTAAAAAACTTGTACTAAAAATCCAGTCTGGTCAACTTGTTCATACTATTATGATCTTATAGAATGAGTTGTAGAAGTTGTATCTAGCCCTCAATTATCTGCATGGTATCAAGGTTTGCCTTGATTAGACAGTGTTCTTGTTGACACTAGCAGTGCTCATCTTTAGTAAATTCTACTGCTATTTCATCACTTTGTGCTCAAAGGCTTACTTTTGTGGTTTTTTTACGCAATTTTAAATAGATTTTGAAAGACTTACTAGCTTTTTTTCATATCTAATGCGGATCCCTTTGGTTATGGGGATGTCCTTATTGAAATCTTTCCTTGAGGTGGGATGATGACTATTGTGCAATGAAAATTTTGCTTACAGGGAGTGGTGGAGTGGAATTAGCACAGCTCTTAGGGAGCTGATGTTGGATTATATGTTGCACAAAGCAATAGTCACAAGAGACAGTTGGCTACATATTCCATAGGTGATCAATGTGATCGCTTGAAAACCGACTTCAAATTGTACTTGTCTGTTAACAGTTAATATCTACCGGATGCTTTCTGAAAGTACCGTCATATATTTTGTGAATACTTGATTTTTATGTGCCTTGAGAGTGCACGGGGCTGCTGTTATGATACTGACATTAGTTTCTTTTTTATCATCTTCTTAATTCAAATGCATATGGTGGAGAAGGAGGACAGTGGTTTTCTTTTATGTGCAAGCTTTAGATATGTTCTGTATAGCTCTGTTTAAGGACATCAAATATTCCCTCAGTCCCAAAATGACTATTTGTTTGTTGTAGGAATAGAGTATGTTCATTTTCTTTATGATGCTTCTTGGTATGCGGAAGAAGAAACAAGAAAGTGATTTTGGTCCTTAAAGCAGCGCTAACATTTACCAGTCTGCTGGCATTGAACACCACCTACTTCCATTTCCATATCATTGCATAAACAGTCGCCCTATGACCATATCTCCATGTCTTAGTTTCTTTCTCGGATCATAGATCTATTTCTTTTATCTTTTTTTTTTTTTATAAATAAAGTAATTATGGATTAACTATTGTATACATCCTATATTTTCAGAAAAATAATTCACTTACATGAATTCAATAATTTAACAAACGGACAATCTTTTTGCTTTGTTTTTTTTTTTTTTCTCTTTTAATGGAGAGTAATTTAAGGTGTCTTCGTCAACTAGGGCATGGAAGACAAAAATGACAAATTATCTGATACACCCGGGGGCACCGTGTACCCCCTGCGCTTGTAATTTACTCTCTTAGAATAGTGTGAGTTTGCTAGATACTTCATCCTTTTTTTTTCCTTTTTTTTTTAAACGCGTGTGGATAACCAGTGTTGGCACTATGGATAACCAGTTACACACAACTGGATAACCATTATTAACCTGTTAGATAACCAGTATGGACATAGTGGATAACCAGTGTGCACATTATGGATAACCAGCTACACACAGCTGGATAACCAGTTGCCAAATTTCATTTTTTTCCTTTTATATTTTTCTTGGATATCCTTGTCCGTATTTTTACACTGGTTATCCAGCTGTCCCTCATTCATTTTTTGTTCTCCATTATTTGACAAACTTCCCCTCATTCAATTAAATACTATTTATGAAATTTGTCATGTTTGGCATGGGGGCGGCACAGCCGCGAAAGGCGGAGCAGCCGCGGGCACCGGCGCAGCCGGGTCGTTTAGTTTATCACGGGGGGATTTATGCAAGAAATTTGTGTCCCCTCTTAACGCAATAAAACACTCTCCTTACACACACACGAAAAAAGGATTACCTTAGCTACATTGGCGTGTTCGGCGAGGCGGCACAGCCGGGGAAGGTTGGTGACCTGCGATTCCGATAGCCGCGGGAGTCGTTTAGTTTATCATGGGTGGCGAAGCCCCCCAATTAACATGTCGTACTGGTTATCCACAAGTTGTAAACTGGTTCTCCAGAAGATGTAAACTGATTATCCAATGCTCTTTATTGATTATCCAGGAATTTTGTACTGGTTATCCAGCCAACGTGCAGCAATATCCAACTGTATTGATTATCCAGGACTTTTGTACTGGTTATCCAGCCAATGTGCAGCAATATCCAACCGTTTGTAATGGTTATCCAGGATCTTTGTACTAGTTATCCAACTTGTTACACCTGATTATCCGAATGTTTTATAGTGATTATCCAGTAAAAAAAATGCAAGTACAACATTTAATGTAAATTTAATGTAAAGGTGAAAAATGTTAAGCGCGTGTAACGCGTGCGTTTGGTGGGGGTCTACGGTATACCCGAGTGCACTGGATATGGACTCGACAAAAATATCAATATTGCGTTTATTTAGTGATTAGAAACTTTTAAAATTCAGCATTTTTTTTAGACAAAAAATTCAGCATAAGTGGTGGGAAAAATAGAAATACATCTCTAATAAACAACATAGAGTTTAAGCGTCCTATTACTATATTTACTAATTATTAAAACCTGAAATTTACTTTTGTAAGTTATTTATAAACATTTTCTCTTTTTTCAAAAAAAAAGAAAAAAGAAAATGGAGCACAAGTTCTATTTGAAAAGGTATTTTGTGGTTGATTTTATATACATCAGCTTTCAGTCGTTTTAGGGATATTTTTCAAACAACAAGGGTCATCTTGATAATTAACTAAAGGTGATTTTGAATTGATATTAAGCCTTATTATTAATTTTTTTACTTTTAACTCGGGAAGTGGACTGTTAGTACTTGCGTTACTCTTTAAACGACGCCTGACTGAAGATGGCACAGGATGAATGAAGATGATGATGAGAGCGAGAAGAAAAGCATTTTTAGAGAACCCTTTATTCTCCCAGAATTGTAAGCCAGATTTGTTTGCATTATTAGAGTTTCGCAATGATGCCTCGGCAAACTACAATTCTGCTCCAAACAGAGTTCATCCATATGCAAGGTTTCCATCTGGGTTCTTCAATACCATTCAAAGTTCGGAAGATGCCTTGAATTTGTATAAACAGATGGTCCAAATGAGTCATCCGCCCTCTGAGATTGCTTTCTCTCAATTGCTCGGCCGGGTGGTTAAATTGAAGCACTATTCACTTGCCATTTCACTCTACCACGATATAACTGCTTTGGGACTTCCGGTTAGTGATTATATTCTTAACACTGTTACTGCTTGCTGAATAGGGTTGATTTTGGATTCTGTGTACTGGGAGGGTTTTTCAAGGGTGGCTTTGTGCCTGATGTGTGTACATTTGGTACTTTGCTCAAAGGCCATTTTAGAGAAAAAAAGATTTTTGAGGCTCAGCAATTATTTAGGAAGGTAATTCACGAGAAGTTATGTGAACCCGACATTGCGATATGTGTTAGCGTGGTACATGGGCTCTGTAAGGTGGGGAATACTAGCATGGCTCTTAAATTTCTAAGAGATATGGAAAGAGCAAGAGTTGAGCCAGATATCAAAGTGTACAGTGTTATCATTGATAGTCTGTGTAAGGATAATATGGTAGATGAAGCAGTTCTTCTTTTACTAGAGATGATCAAGAAGGGTATTGCCCCTGATGTTGTTACATGCACTTGTTTGATAAAGGGTTTGAGTAATATAGGTAAATTGAGCGAGGCTAAAAATCTCTTGAATGAGATGGTGGATTTTGGCATTGCTCCAGATAGATATGCTTTTAATGTACTGATGGTGTGCTTCATGTAAGGAAGGGAATGTGGAAGATGCTGAGGGTTTAGTCCATCTCATGACTCAACATGGTCAGAATCCTAATGTGGTCACTTACAACGCTCTCATGGAGGGATGCTGTTTGCAGGGTAAATAAACAAAGCGATCAAACTCTTTGATACTATCGTTGGTAGTGGGATTATTCTGGATATTGTCAGCTATAGTATATCAATTGATGGGTATTTCAAGAATTTAAAAGTTGATGAAGCAATGTGTCTCTTCCAAGAGATTTCGCGGAAGGGGTTAACCCCAGATGTCTCTTTCTACACAATTGTCTTGCAGGGCTTGTTTAGGGCACGGAGATGTGTCACTGCCTGAGATGTTTTCATTGAGATGCAATCAGTTTCTATACCTCCTGATTTTCATACTTATTATGTAACGTTGCACGGCCTATGCCAGAATGGTTTTGTTGATGAAGCCACTGAATTTCTGCACAAGTTGGAAACCGAGGGAGTAGAACTTCATACACCTATGTATAGCATAGTTCTAAATGGTTTGTGCAAATGTGGGAGGCTTGATGCTGCAAGAGGTCTATTTCGTAGCCTCCCCTTGAAAGGACTGCACCCTAATCTCGCAACTTATAACACAATGATAAGTGGCCTTTGTGGAGGAGGTTTGGTAAAGAAAGCTGAAGATTTTGTTGCGCAAATGGAAGGAATTGGTCTCTTGGCAAATGAAATCACATACAACACAATGATTCTAGGATTTCTTAACATTGGTGAATATGATGATGCATTGATCTATATTGAAGAGTCAGTTCGAAGAAGATTACCTATAGATTCATCAACTTTTCTCACTTTTGCTCGATTTGTCCTCAACCAAGGATAATGATAATTTCCTCAAAAGGATAATTCAAAATCTTGGCCCTCATAGCAAGAAGTCTCAGTCATAAGAGATGCATGGTATGACAGTTGGCATTTAAATGGATTGCTGCTTGTGCCCAATTTTTTGGGCTACAAATGATTAGTTAAGCGCAAAGGTGAAAGGATCAATTCTAATTTCAAATTTTCTATCTATGTGATTTAAGAGAAACCTGAATAGTGCCTCTTGGTGGTAGTGAATCGAATATATATATGGAGATCAGATGCATCTCTTGTTATATGGTTAAATGGTTGTGAATCAAGTATTTATCACGTGGCTGTTTTTTGGACCTATGGACATTGTTTCCCAAAACGTTTTTACCCAACGTGTTTACAAGATTAAAAGTTGTAAAATCTGATTTCACTGCTGGTATAGTTGTATGTATCGCTAACCGGTTCATTGAGGCAGTTTTCCCATTGATTGAAGCAATCTTTTGCATTAATTAGTTCATAAAAATCTCAAAGTAGAACATCATGTTTGGTTGTCTTCTCTTCTTTTATTATTATTTGTGTACCATTGAATCTGCACCAAAATAAACATTGTTTGATTTATTGTTCATTCAAATCTCTGTTGGTTCCCTAGCATTTGAAATAAAATGGTTTTAGCTTTGCAATTAGTGATGATTTTTCTTGTGTCTTTAGTTCATGACGTAGCACGTGCTGGGTTTTGATCTGTAAACCACACAATCTAATTCTTAATTCAAAACTTTTGCTCCTTGTATAAAGGTTGGATCTGAGAAAACTGTTGGCTGAATTTTAAATTGTTGCAGGAATATGATGCATTAAAGTTTTCTATCTTGATTTTCATTCTGCCTTGTACTTTGTTCCTGATATCTCCCTTTATATGGTTTGTGCTACATGCAGGACCAACCATGGCATGTTAATGGTTATAGAGATCTTAGGTGTTTAGAAGATGGAAATGAGATCCAGATTTGAGAAGGTACAATTAGGATTGCTTTCTTTTTAATAAATGGTTCATTTCTGTTATGTATGAGCTGTCACATTGTCTTGGCATGAATCTTTTAGGAGCTCTACCATATTAGCTGGTGCATTCAAATTCCATCAGAGGGTAGATTCTAGTGACTTAAAACCAGAACCTGTTTATGTTTAAGCGTATATATGTAACCTTGTGTCACTATAGGTGCTAATGTTGACTACTTTCAAGTTTCTAGTTGCCTTTTGTCGGTAGATAAGTTCCTAGGATCTAGGTTGTATAGGGGTAGTTCCTTAGAATCGCATGGCTGTAACTTTATTTTCATTGAAGCAGCATTCTTGATCTGAAAGTAAATTTTTCATACTCATTGACAAAGGCATTGGAACAGTATTTTCATCTATTGGGTTCTGATTTTTGGACTGGAGAAGAGATACAGCAGATAAATTCTATAAAGTTAAAAAGTGAAGCAACACAAAGTTTTGTAACCTAATATTAATTGTGTAGGCCTGTTTTTCAGGGTCGTGTAGGGTGGGAAGGCACATTATTGCAAAAGAAGTTTTGGGCTAGTGTCTATGGTAAAACAGTTAGAAAAAAAGAGATTATCAACTCGAATCTCAAAAAGGGTGGGGGCAGGGGAAAAAGAAACTGAAGGAACTATTTTACAGAGACGTGAGCAGTTCTTGTTGTTGTGCGAGAAAACTGGTTTACCATTTTTAATCCGGCTTCTTTCTTTAGTCATCACCTAACTGACACACTTCATAGTTTCATCCTACTGAACTACACCATTTCAGTTTTCTCTTCGTATGTTTAAATTTGTGAGTCGGAAGTCTTCTTGGAAATATGGAGCAGGGATGTTTATTTGTTTTCTTGGTCTAGTTAAAATTTTGATGTGAAAGAAATTTGAATATATAGTGCTTGTTCTTATGGTTTTCTCTGGTTGATTATGAGAGACTTATTATTGGAGATGTTTTAAGTGTAGTCTGGAGCAAACATTGGTGGGTAATATTTTATTTCAGGTAGTAAGTGTAGTAACAATTCTGAATCAGGGAAGTTGTTTCTTGTAAAGCCTGTTCTTACATGTTGTTATTATGCATGGCTGTTTTGTGACACATCCCTGTCCTTTGCGTAGTATGCTTTTGTTGTTAAACTGACTTTTGGTTAGTTGAAGTATCCTGAAAGGTTTCATAATAGGGGTAATGGTTGATTGAATTGGAGGAAAATAACACCCCTGTGCTTTATTGACTGATTGTTTTATTGTTTGGTTGTCAATGTTCATGTTCTAAAATAGAAATGGTTAGTAATAGTGGAAATATAAAAACTCAATAGATGGGCTGTCCAATGAAGTGCATTTTGATAGCACGCGGTCCCTTTTCAATTTCAGAGCATCTTGAACTCATATTGCCTGTAAAAGAGTTTAAATTACCATCATCTTTCCAGATTTAGGGAAAAGTAGCTTTCTTGCACTGATGATAACATCTAGTATGCGTTGTTCATTGACTTAAGTGCATATATACCTTGGTACTACGACCATTTTTTTGTTTAGCTTTTGAGATTGTATATGAAAGTCATTGTTTCTCTGTCTGATTGGGTGTCTGGTTAAATAAGAACTTAGGCAGCATTCTTTTCAAAATAATCGTGGATGAGCTTTTAATTCTTGGTGATTTTTAAGTAGCTCGAGACCTTCAGTTACTTTAGAATGTAAGCAACAAAGGGGTAGTTTGAGATGTGTGTTAGCATTATTAATTAGCATGAAAACCTCCTTCAAACAGTAAACCTGCTCTATTCATCCAACTATGAGTTGTCTTCCTTCTGCAGTCGAGGCCAAACTTTTTTAGATTTCATGAGTTATTTCTCATTCCTTGACCCTTGTGGTAAGAAGTTTTATTAGTACTAGAGAAGGAACATATATACCTGTACTTGTTGACAGATTGTTTTATAGTTTGGTTGGCAATATTCATTCTGTTCCAAAATGTAGTATGGAATTATAAAAACTCAATAGATGGGTTGTCCCGTTAAGTGCATTTTGATAGCACTCTGTCCTTTTTCAATTTCAGAACATCTTGAATACTGTTGTTTTTGGAGGGAAATAACAGGGAGTCCAATGCAGTTTGAATATTGTTGTTTTCGGAGGGAAATAATAGGAGCCCAGTGTAGTGTGATAATAGAGTGCATAAAGCTTATAAAACATATTGGGTTTTTGTTAATTTTCAAGTTTCTGAAGAGATATTCCATGCTATTGAGCAGATTTTGAAGAAGCCATCGATAGAGAGAAATAATATGGAGACGTTGACGTGAACAAAAGCATGTCAGGCCAAAGGCTTCTGGTTCGAAGTAAGCTGGTTCAAAGTCTTAAAATTAACATTTTCCAACCATTTTTCGCTGTTAAAAGTAAAGTTAAGAATGGTGCTACTGTCAAGGCTGAAAAGAGTTTATTCTTCAGGGCATGTCAAAGTTGAAAGTATAAAGAAGGAAGATAAGTTGTATTCTGATTCTAAAGGACCCAGCTGCAGTTCCTGTTGATCCATCCTGTTGATCCACCGAGTCTGATTCTCTGCCTTTTTAGAAAGGACAGAAACAGAGACAAAATCAGGGAGCTTTGTGCTGAGAACTCCCCATTTTTAGTTTAGATTCATATTTTTGATTGATTGGTATTACGTTAAGTTTAGTGCTAGATGTTAAACCAGTCCGTTGGACGGAACAACCATATTCAAATATAAATAATGAAATAGAAAAAAAAGTATATTGTTAAAAAGTACATTGAAAATGTAGAAGGGTAAAATGAAATAGGAAGTTATTATATACAAACATATTCATTGTAGATAATTTTCATATGGCTATATTATTTTTTGTATTAATGTTAAAATTTTAATGAAATTTGACCACTTTTAGTGAATCATCAATGAAAATTAAAATAAATAGACCCTAAACCAAAATAAGTGAATCCTTAGTCTAAAGACTAAAATGTCCAAATGGTCCCTTATATTTGGGCCTACTAGAATTTACGTCACTTACGTTAACATTTCAATATCGTAGTCCCATACATTATGTTTTTATACTTTTTTGGTTCCATTTCACTGTTTCCGG